CCACTCTCTTCTCATCAGAGGCCCACAAGCTGACCAGTACTAGACTTTTCCACCACAGGTCCTGAAGGAAATGGTGATTGTACAAATCTACAAGGAGGCTTGCTAATGGGTGGACAGCCTAACACAACTGCAGGAAACTTAAGTAACCTGGAAACTGATAAGATGAGTGGCTGGGGCAAACTTCCCCTTTCCCTTATCCAGAAGAATTTCTGCAAATGTTCGGTTGGGGCAGAGTACCCAGTCATGCAGCCTGTGTGAGGTAGGCCAAAAGAGTTTGTTAAGACAGGAACTGCATGAATCAAATCACGAGATAAGACTGCTGCTCTATAGAAACCTGATTGCCCCTTCAAAATGAACCTAGGTTCAACGTGCTTTAATCAAGCATCATAGGGGAATTATTAAATATTATGTTGCAAGGTATTGCCAGTTATTTTCTAGAAGGGGAGCCTCAAAACTCCATTTTTTCTTTTCATTAATAAAGCAATTGACTCATACAAAATTATGGGTGAGAAACCTATGGAATGGGTTATGTGTTCTCACTTTGTTACCAATTACAGACATTTTATACACTATGCAAGAATATGGTTAATAAATCATGCAAATGGGGTTTGTGTTCCACTTAATAGACCATGAAATGCACATTATACAACTGTGTTACTTTTATGTTAGTTTCAGTAATTGGTAACATAGTAAGTTCAAAAACTGATAAAACTAGAAATGAGCTCATTTAATCCAGAACAAATTCATGAAGAATTTTTAAAAATTACATAATGTTACTAACATTTGACATTGAACACAGGTCTTTGAGGAGAAAACAACAGAAAAACTTAAGATGTTTGGTAATGTATATATAATTGGGAATTTGCTCTTAATTTGCAAGTATGCCCCTAGGATACTATGGGCAATGGGCATTTGTAATAAAAGTCAGGATTAGTGAGGCTAGTTAGTGTCCAAGTTCCTGAAATCTGCATTCCTGCCAGTATCAATGACACAGACACAGTAAAGTCCAAATACCAGCAATGAATCTTTCACATTTCTAAAGGTAATCAAGGTATGGATTTAGAAATCATCAATGTTCCACCAATATGAGTCATTACATCATTTCTACATGAAATAATATACATAACTGAGATCAAAATCAAGAATCAACCAGCATGGGCTTCCCTGGTGGCGCAGTGGTTGAGAGTCGGCCTGCCGATGTAGGGGACACGGGTTCGTGCCCTCGTCCGGGAAGATCCCACGTGCCGCGGAGCGGCTGGGCCCGTGAGCCATGGCCGCTGAGCCTGCGCGTCCGGAGCCTGTGCTCTGCAACAGGAGAGGCCACAACAGTGAGAG